CACTCGGATGTCTCTACATGAACGACCTGCATCGAGTCGTCTGTAACATTTACACAGTGGGCCGTATCCATAGTGTTACCAGGATAAGGTACCCAGCCTTATCCATATACTATAGACCATTTAGGTTATTCACGGGACATTATCCATTCATATATCAGGGGTATATCAAATATATACCCAGTATATATACTGTCCCGATTACATTAAAATAACCTTGGATGTTTAGTTTATTGGATTTGGACAATGCAATGCTATGTTTCAACAACAAATTTATTGAATAAAACTTTATTGAATATACATTTGTTTTTACATAATACAAACTACGAGTTTAGGGCAACACACCCAACAGGCTCAACCACAAGGTTTTTCTAACCTTGAACTTCTAAATCATGTTTGTAAGTTAAAAAAGACAATTTATAGACTTAAACCGTCCCCTAAAGTTTGGTTTGATAAACTATCTCACTTTTTATTACATATAAGATTTACTTGCAGCAAGTTTGATCCCTCTTTGTTTATATACAAATATAATATCATTCCTATATTGATGTTAGTATATGTAGATAATATTATAATCATTGGAAATGAACCCAATTTTTGTCAAGACTCTCATTCAACAGCTAGATCAGAATTCGCTATCAAAATCCTTGGATAGCTTCACTACTTTCTTAGCATTGAATTTCAGCATGTTCCAAATGGGTACCATGTTACTCAAAGCAAGTACACAAAAGATATATTCCTAAAATGACAGAAATGATGGCCACTTCTCCTGTCTCTACCCCATGGTCGTAGGCCCAAATGGTACTCCCAAAGACGAAGACTCAGTTGATCCTACAATATATAGGAGTTTGGTCGGGTCCCTACAATACCGTACTCTAACTAGACTTGTCAATACATGCAACAACTTCAACCTAAGCACTTAAGGGAAGTTAAACGAATACTCATATATCACAAAAAGGCTTTAAATCATGACATAACTTTCTAAAAATACAGCTCACTGAATTTGAATGCTTTTTGTGGTGTAGATTAGGGTGGTTGTATAACCACACGAAAAAACACCTCTAGATATTGTGTTTCCCTTGGATCAAACTTGATAGTCTCATGGTCATCCAAGAAGCAACCAACTGTATCTCGATCTAGCTCAGAAGCAGAATATAGAGCCATGGCCAATGCAACTGCTAAGCTCACTTGGATTACTATGAAATTATTTTTTCTAAGAATATTTCATAAATTTCTCCACTGAAGTCTCTATTTCTAACAACATTTCATAAGTTTCAAATATTTCTCAAAATCTTAAAGTAATTCTAAATTCACAAACAGACACATTTTCTTTCATTCTTAACAAACTACTTAATCATACCTAATATATAGTTTCTTGAAACTCTATAATAATAGATAGTTAAAAACGTTTTATAAATATAAACCATCTCACACATCCTACAAACGGTGTAAATTCGGATGGTATAACCTGGAATAATAATCCAACATCAAATTAACTTATACTTCATTCCAGCATACACCATAATATCCTTAAATAAAAATCAAATATCCAATTAACAAAAGCAAATGTTGTAATTCCTTAGGAATTAGTAATTAATTCTAACTACCTTAAGAATTAGTAGTTCTTATGTGTTTTCTGACACCAAATATTATAGGGTCAGACGGTTGTCCCGTGAAATTAGTCGAGGTACGCATAAGCTGGCCCGAACACTCACGGATATAAAAAAAATACATATATATATAAATACATATATATATATATAGATATATATACATACATACATACATATATCTATATATATATATATATATATATATATAGATACATATAGATACATACATATACATACATAAATACATACACAAATATATATATATATATATATTAAATCTCTCTCTTCATTTAAAAGGATCATTTTTTATCGTGAAATTATTCTTATGGTGTTTTAACGTTTAACCTAAAAAAAAGGATTTTTTTTTCTCTGACACCACGCCCGCAAGTACTCAAATTTTACATTTAGTCATTATCCATTGGATTATACCATATCTCATCTCAAAATTCAATTACACATTTCCCATCTTTTTGAGTGTTAGAGAAATGGCAAAATATTCTTTTCACTTTGTCTTCCCTCTTTTAACCCTTCTTGAATACACAGCAGCTAACCGAAAACTTTAGCTCACAAATTCTTTTATTTTTAAATGCCAAAAGACAAATATGCCCTTACAATCCATCATCTTAATTCTTAAAAAATAGAAAATCAAAATAAAATAATTGTCAATGGGCCCTAGGCGCTACTATATTGGATGTGTTTTTTTATTCATCTTATTATTAGTTTGCTCTGCAATACACCCAAACACAAACTAAAGGAGCAACAAAAACAACCTGATCTAAAAAAGTCTGAATTACTAGAAGTGGATTATAAATAAATTTAAAAAAAAAGTGGAACCTTCACGTGAAAATTGTATAAAATATAGGAAAAATCTCTTTCACGAGTCATTTTAGAAACTATATTTCACAAATAGTTTAAGTTTTCAAATTTTTACATATTTGGATTCTCAGCATAGATTATAGGGTGTTCACGGGTTGGGTTGGGTTGGGTTGGGATACTTTTGGGACCAACCCGAAAATTCGGGTTGGGTTGTCGGTTTGTCACTTTTCTTTAATTTAAATTTTATTTTGTTTATAACCTAGACAAATGGGAGAGTTGTTTCCTTTGCTATTCAGTTTCGACCATTCTAGTCTAAAGACATACAAGAACATGATTGATCTTCTTTCCAAANTCCATTTTATTTTTAAACTTGATGCAACTCAAGTTTATCGAAGGAAAAAAGAATCTACACGAATATTTATCCACAATTTATAGGTGTACACACACAGATATATATATATATATATATATATATATATAACATAATTTTTTATTTTTATTTTCCATAGTTTTAAATGATTGTCAAGAAGTGGTGTAAATTGCATAACATTTCTCTTTTATTGTTTTCGTTCTGTGCCTTACTATCTTCTAATTTTAGATGGAGGCTTTCTGCAATTTGTTGTTCATAGTCATTTTTGCAAATGAATGTAATTTGAAGAAGTTTTGGGATTTTGGATTAAAGTTGTTAAATTTAATTTTCTCCCTTAACCTTTAGCTTCACATGATCAAGTATTCAAGTTGAGAAAAAAGGTAGATGAGGAATAGAGTAAAAGAATTAACACTTGTCTTGTTTAATAAAATAATTAAAAAAAATAACAACCAACACTTGTCTTGTTTTTATATGACCACCTGAGAGTAAGGAGCTAGAGGTGTTCACGGGTTGGGTTGGGTCGAGTTAGGAGTACTTTTGGAATCCACTCGAATTTTTGTGTTTGGCCATATTTGGGAACCAGGTTAAAAATTGATGGCCAACCCAACCCAACCCAACCTAAAAATTTTGGGATGGATCCGGTTGGGTTGTCGTGTCACTTCTTTTTTTAATTTAAATTTTATTGTTTATAACCTAGACGAAAAAAGGTGTAAAAAAATTAAAACAGGAGAATAGTTTCCTTTGCTATTCAATTTAGGTCATCTAATCCAAAGACATAATACAAGAAGATGATTGATCTTCTTTCCAAATCTTCCAAATCTCCCAAATTTGCAGTTTGAAATATAAAGCAAAAGGGAGGAAAAAAAAACATATGCGGTGAAGAAGATCTGCGACAGAAGATCTTGTATGAAAAGAAAAGAATGAGATGTTTCATTCCTCCTCCCTACTTCAAATCCTTGGTGAAGGAGGTCTGCGACGGAAGATCTTGTACATAAAAAGAAAAGAATGAGATGATTCATTCCTCCTCCCTACTTCTAATCAATGGTGAAGGTCTGTGACGGAAGATCTTGTACGTGAAAAGAAAAGAATGAGGTGATTCATTCCTCCTCCCTACTTCAAATCAGTGGTGAAGGAGGTCTGCTACAGGACGACGGGTACATAGGCGACGATTACGACGGGACGCAAGGGCGGCGGCGGCCACGGGTGCAGCGGACAGTGGGCGGCGACGGGATTGCAGGGGCGACGATGAGTGCAACGAGAAGCTTCAGAAAGGAGACAACAATGGAGAAAAGAAAATTTGAGGATGAGATTAATCAAAACGAGGGAGGAAGGAGATGATAAATGAAGGGTGAGATTAAAACTCAACGAACGGCTCATATCGAAGATAATAAATGTATCATATATTTATTATAAAAATATATATATTAAATAACGCTAATTTGGGTTGAATTGGGTCAACCCGAATTTTTTAAGGACCAACCCGAGAACCGACCCAAACTGAGGTTTAATTGAACCCAACCCAATGGGTAGGATTTATCGGGTTCGTCGGGTTTTTTGAACAACCCTAATAGATTACCGTTGTTTTTTTTTTTAATAGAGCAGGGAAGAATCAAAAGAGATTTTTTTTTTCCTAAAAGCCCTAGCCTACTTCTTCTTCATCTCGTTCTCTCTAGAATTGAGCCACTTCCACTTTAGCCTTCACTTTTCCCCGTTAACCTCACCACCACACCTTCTTCCTTTCTCCCAACCTTTCATACATACATACATATATATATATTCTCCTTTTCCTTTGCAAATCTCACGAGACACCACCACAAATTTTGGGTTTGGCGACAAACATATCTGACAGTATTTCAACGACCACCCGTCATCGACAGATCGACTGTAGTATAGATCGACAGCAGCAGCAACTTCCGAAGACCTTCTGTTAATCCCTTCCTACAACAACACATCCACAAACCCAGAATACAGAACTTCTGCAAAAATAAAGTATCGTATTGTACATTTTTTTTTAATTTAAATAAAGATTAAAATCTAACCCAGCATACAAACTTCTGCAAAAATAAAGTATCGTATTGTACATTTTTTTTCTTTCCTTATTGTGCAGTCGACTAGTTCTATTTTCATAGACCAAGTTTTTTTAAATAGGTGATCAATCACACCCCAAACCCTTATCTTGAAAGAGTCGGTCGCTCCGCGTCACGATGACATTGCGGTAGCTTGACTCGAACTTGGATAATGTATTAATAACAATACGGTGTCTACGTTCATTAATCCCACGATTGCTCTTGATTATTATGTTTTATTAGATTAAATTTATTTTTATTTAAATAATTAGATTTGATTTTTATCCCTTTTTCCATATTTAGTTTTCAAATCTTTGACTCTCACTTTTCTCCTATCGAATTTTAA